TTTGCTTACCTCACATAAGTCCTAAGTCACTTAATAATACAAGACAAAGATGATGTACACGTTCCACAGGCAGGTATATAATTCATATAAATACGTATGCTCGCTCGTGCGAGTGTATATATACGTGCAGACCATATTGGCAAGAGAGCGTAGTGGCCGACGCACGGGGGGCACAAGGGGGAGGACGAGAGGAGTAGGGGGGAAAATTGGAGTTTCACCCCCTCGAGGCACGCGCAAACCGTAGCAGGTATTTCCTATATATACGCGAGCGAGAGAGAAGAGAATATATCGTTTATTCGTAGGTAGAGAGAGAGAGCCAGTCATTGCGCCGTGCTCGTTGACTAATGATAGCCATCTGCGCGACGACGATCGTGACTGATAATGTTCTCTCTCTCTCTCGAACTCGGGAGCGCGAGCGGCTATGTATACGGGCACGCGCGCGCTCCCGTGTTCGCGTGTGTGTTCGTGGCGTTGCTCCGGGCCTGGGGTTTGCTCGGCTCGGCCGCAAAAAAAGCGCAGCTACAGCTTTTCCCATTATTCGGACATCTCTTTCGGTCGTGTAAGCTGTATCAAGTACGCGATCCTAATGATTTCGGTTAATGATCTTTTACGCGAATCTTTCCTCGCCGTTGTTTGTATCAGTATCATATCTCACCGGCTACGTTTCATCTCTCACGTTCAACTTTTAATGATACTAGAGCTGGGGTGCTCTGTGATCCTTATTTTTCTTTGATTCATCGAGTTTCAAAAACTGACGAATCAATTTTGTTTCGAGATTAATTACTTTTTTTTTATCAAAAAAAGGAGAAAGATAGAGTGAAAATACAGAGTTTGTTGAGCAAAAATAAACTCCGAATTGACCATTCTGTACTCTACACGTATATAATGTATTATTCGTATTCTACAAACACCTGATGGTTTAAAAAGTAATGTGCTGCAGGCTTTAAAAGAGCAAGTACACATCGAATCGTAAAACCGCAAAGTACGGCATAGAACAGAACTCAAATAATATAAATGTACATAGTGTATGCAAGGTGTCGATTCGTCCAGTCATAGTTTTTGACCAGAATCATGATCCATCGAGTACACTTACTGCCAGTTATTCATACGTATGGTTTTGCTCCGATGCTATACGATCGCTGCACTACTGCGCGCGCGCTCGTGTGGGCGAGAACAGCTGCCAGCTGCTATATGTATATACCACATAGAGCACTTTCAAAGCAGGCGGAGTTGACCGGCTACGCGGAGGCGTGGTACATCGAGAGACAGAGAGAGAGAGAGAGTATCCCCCGACTTTCGATCCCCTCTCATAACGTCTTGTTCAGGAGCTTTGGCGTTCGACTCAGATACCGAGCGCGCTGTGTCACGCAGCGAAGCGATGGTGTTTATAAGCCGGAGAATAAATACACCTGCGCATCGAGCGCCTTCGCAGCCAAGACGCAAAAATCAAGGGTAATATATTGCATCTGTAATTTACCCGAGTCTTCGTAACGCGGCTCTATATTATTTATATACTCGGCATTTATAATTCACGCGTATTTATAGCTTCTTATGTGCATTAGATTGCAGCTGTCGCAGAAGCTCCGATTTATACCTTCACATTATTGTAAACCTATATCAAAAATGTAAAGTGTTTGATTAACTTATAGCGTGCTCGAGTCTATTTTAGATGATTCACTGGTATTAAGAAAGATTTCAGAAATGCTCAAGTCTGGTAAAAGTAAACAGCTTTTTCTTTTTTCGGGAAATTTTTATGCTCGATATGTCTTTCAAAAAACGAAGCTCATTGCCAATGAATTATCAACGGTTTTCTTCTATGGCTATCGTGGTTATTTATGAAAGTTATAAAAAAATGTTCTATTCATCATTTTAAATAAATAAATTTTCATTTGCCTTAAAATATCATTACCTTTATATTTTTATTACCTTTACATGACATCGATGCCTCCTAGCAGCAAGATGCTAGTTCACTGGACAGAGCAGCATTGTGCCAGTTTAATTTTCATTCGGCACAATACTATTCTAGCGCTTTCTTCAGCGAGATGCTACTTCAGCGTTCAGTTCTGTAAGATACTATTTCGGCAGCCCGTCTAAAAAAGGACCAAAACCTTACCTTGGCTATAGATTACACTTTTCGATAATTTAAACTGTTTATGCTTGAAGCCTTAAAGAGTTAAATTTGCTCCTTTAACGAGTGAGGTTCATAACTAACTCGTTTTGATGAAGTACTAGAATTCAAGCTGAAAACGCAGATTACTCTCTTTAAAAAAGTATGATGTTTTACAGATACTCCGTAAGTTCTAGCGCTTCATCGAAACGAGTTTTTGAGAAAAAACACTAAGAGGGAATCTCAGAAATAATGTTTAAAACATTTCATATTGAACATTCGAAAGTAACAAAAAATGTTATATAATGCATTTTTAAAATTAAACCTGTATTCATGATTCCGTTATTTAAATTATTTTCAAATAATAATTTAACATTCGATTGTGAAAACATAGTGACTTCGAAAAAAATTGATCCGCTGAAACAATGTTTGGCACAGATTTGAGTTGCTGTCACGATAATTCTTATTCATTTAGTTTTCTTAATTATTGTTTGATTTGAGCAACACCTTTAATGGAAAAAAATTGAAAAATGTGAATAAGGTGTCAATTGGAAAAGAGTAAATCGACACCTACCAATGTCCAATGTTGGTATAAATTCAAATGTAAGTAAAAAGGCAAAGAGTCTGGAGAAAGCAAGCGATTGCAAAAGAGAAGTAGAAGAAGGAAGCTATAGGGAGAGAAAGAGAGTGAGTGGGCGAGAGAGGATAAATCGCGCGACGATAATGGAATTCTGAACGGGGTGAGACCCCATCAGTGATAGTCTCACTCTTGGCTGACAACACCAGCAGCATAATGTCGTCAACGTTGTCGTTCGCCTTTCTAACAGCAGAGTGTAGTGTCTATATAGTACACGGACTCGAGTAAGTAAGTAAAGTCTAGTAGGGGATCAAGAGCCACACGGCACTCGCGACAACGACTGATGCTGATGCTATGCGTCGAGCGAGATAAAGAAACATTTTCCACAATCCATTCTATTTCTTTACATTTTTTTTATGTATATTACATATGAGCCATCTTATTGATCATTTCTCTGACGATAGAACAAGTTTTCTATCGTAGAAAAATTGATACGCACAACTCGATCTAGAATCTATCTATATACCAGTAGATTAAGCGAGCGAGAAAGAGAGGGGGAGTGGGTGGGATTGGGAGCACGGAGTACATGCACGAGAATTGAAAAGCGAGAGCTCTTGGTACGCCATAGGGATATATTATATGGTTGGAAATTGATTTGATTATAAGCCAAAGTTGCGGAGAATGGGAATTCGTGTGAATTCGCTCGTCGAGCTAACACGTGTTTAATGCTCGATAGCAACAGCCGCTGTCGACTGTCGAGTGTGAATCACGAAATGCACTGACGTTTTCCACCCTAGCTAATTCAAGCGTGTGATGGGTGAGAGAGGCAGCGAGAGAGAGAGAGAGAGCAAGAGATAGGGAGGGAGGCGTATATACTATTCGGCGTGTACGAGAATTACTCGCTCGTTCGATTAACACCGACACGTACGGCTTTTTCGAGCGACAGACTTATGCTACACGCCGTGTCCTCTCCCTTTCCATTAAACACTCATCATATGCCGATATATATACCCATAGCTACTGCTACTCAGCACCAGTGCTTTTATTATTTGCACTGAGCAATTTAACATATCAAGGATTTTTACCAATTCAAATCGTTTTATTTTTAATTGTTATGCAAATAGTGTTTGCAAGTTATCACAATGACAATGATTCTCTTTGGGGATTACTAAAATACGGAATTATGAATCGTTGTTTTAAAATGCCTCATATCTTGATACATTCTTAGCTTTCATTCTATCGAGAATCAAATTTTTTTCAACAAAGTTATGGATTGTATGTACTGTGTGCGCATAGAAGAGAATTTAAATAGAATTTTTTTAGATTAGCTTAGTTTGTTTAAAATCGTCGAATGATCATAATCGAAATGGTTACTGAGTGAAAAATACATATTGATTACTTTCAAAAACGTGGCATCATTGTTGAATACTGTTATCTTGTAAAATAGAAAAGTGTTTTTGTATATTACTCATTCAATTTTTTTGTTGAAAAAATATTTATATTTTACAAGATCGTATCGTCTGGCTAAAATAACTAAAAATCACTTTATTAATTTAACCTAATGAGACATTTCATAGACTACCTTTTTAAGCAATATCAACGAATTTTTCTTGAGAATATTACGACTTGCTATCATGTAAGAGCAATGAATCTCTACGTGCAACTACAAAAAATAGACTTCGATACACCTTGAGGTTTTTATTGTATAGATAAGATTATATTTTAAATTGTGTACGCTGTTTCATAAACTGCTCGGAATCTTGATCTCCACAAAAAATTAGTATATCATTGTAAAAAAAGAAAATCGTCGCTAAAACTCCAAGTATTTGTCATAGATTTTTAAAATTTATTTCCAAAATTATTATAGAAATTATTCGCTACGTTCATTCGTTCATTTGTAAAAGTTGTATTTTGGACTTTGGGACAAAAGCATAAGCACGTTTACCTACACCGCTTGGGCGGTAGGGTTTTTCCCGAGCCCTGGAAAAGACAGAGACTCGTGTTGCTGCTAAACCATGGTAAGCCCACGAGGAGCCGTGATCATATTGCCCGCTGCGTAAGTTCGACACAGCCGGCAAAAGCCTCGAGAGGATAATCTATAACCCACTGCAGGTCTTCACAGAGAGCCCTGAAGGCCTCTCGGACTGGCAGTATGCATTCCGAAGGGAACAGTCCGCCATCGCTACCGCCCAATCTGTCTTCGAGGGCAAGAGATGACTGCGTGGAACGATGGAATACTGCACCGTCGTGACTCTGGACATCAAAAATGCATTCTATTATGTGTGCTAGAGTGACATCCTCTCTGCCTTATACCTAATGAACATCCCTAGTTACCTGCTGAACATCATCTCTGGCTACTTCCAGGCAAGGACATTACTGAACGCGATATACGACACCATCCTGAACCTCCCCCGCATAGTGAACATCGTTATCTTCGCAGATGACATTGCCTAGGCCGTCGTTTTCAAGCACCTCTAGCAGCTCAGCCTTGAGACAGCCAACCACAAAACCGAAATTACTGATCATTGGTAGGCGGAGGATAGATACCATAACCGTAACAGTCCAAGGCTGCCGTATCATCTCAGTTCCCTACATTGAATATCTGGGCCTTCACATAGACGCCATGGTGAGCAATGCGAAGCTGACTATTGTAGAGAGGATTCACGCAAGTTAGCTATTGAATTTGAAAAACAAATCTTCAGTTTAAAATTTTTAAAATATCGCACTCCTTTTCACTAGGAGTCTAATTTATGAATTGAGATTTTGTTAAAAAAGGAAAATCTTTTAATGATACACGTATAATCAATATCGAATTTCAACGAGATCGCAGCATCTTAGGCAATGGAAATGTTCTCATGATAATTAGGCTTCGGGTAAAAAGCCTTTACACGTTCATACGCATTCACGCCCTCGTAAAAGCATTCTCATGCTTTCACGGCCAGCATATGGCCAAAAAATATTAGCCCCGCTGCAACACGTTGTCGCGCACGCAGGTATTGCAACGAATCTAGGAAGAAGCATATAGGATTTTCGACAAATTGTCGGTGCGCGCCATCCGATACGCACGAAGGGCGCGCGCAGGCTAGGCCGATCACACGCGTTCCCAGGGAATACGATGATGTAGCAGCGACTCGCCATCAATACAAACATAGGCAGCAGAAGCAGCAGCAACAGCAGCAGAGAGACCACCCCCGCTTCGAGTCATATCAGGAGCGTTCGTCTTTTTTGGGGCTCGCTGCGAGCGCGCAACAGGTCGTCCGACGCACCCATCGCGCGGGGATGAACCGAAAAGGCGCTGTACGGCAAACATATCGCACGCCAGAGCTCGATTGTATAATATGCAGCGTGGGACTTGAGCGAAAAATCGATTAGCGCTTATCATGACCAAGCGTGTGCCACTTTATGCGCAGAAATTTTATGCGCCGTGCGATCGATTGTGCATTACATAAAAACAGGAAGGTCGAAAAACAGGAAAAGAGATAAATATATGAGAGCAAGCCTTGATGTATGCTTTTATTTTGCTTGCGCTTTGATTTTCAAAAAAGCAATCTCTATATTTAGGGCAACATTTATCACGACTATCTTAATTTTTCCCCGATTATTATCGATGATATAACTTAATTTCACCACTTTCTACAGCAATCATTGCGGAGAATCGACTTTTCTACGAATTAACGACTGAAGATAAAAAATCTGAAAGCAAAAAGCTCAAAAGCGAGGCAAACTCTATCGCACGAAGACAATGGAACATCAGATCTCAACTACCCTCATGAATGGCTGTCCACATGAAGTTTGTTCAATATTGTATGAAATAGATATAAGAGGGTTTTGAGAGGTGACGTAACTCGAGCTATATATATTTACAACCTTACGTTTCTGTCAGTCTTGTCCTTTTATATAATTTTATCCACTCCACTTTTATCCGAAGAGAAAAAAAGTTTTGCATTGATGCTAAAGAAAAGAAAGCCCGTGTTCTTTCGCCTCTCCACCTTCTCTCGCTTATTCAATGCTCTCGAATTACGAATCAAGCAGCCATTTTTTTTCTTCATTTTTTTACGCAAGGTGCATGTAACGTTCGATCTGACTGTGATGTTTTACGAGTACGAGCACCCACGCCGGGGCATCGTAGCTAACAGACGAGTCGCAGCTTTTGACGGGGTACTTGTACCGAAACGGCCTACACATTAACAGGTACCTGAGCATTTGTACATAATAATACACCCGGGCGAGTAATCGCTTTTTTTCTTTCTTTGTATTAAATGCATGTATGTATACATGAGTTGGCGAGAGGCTCATTATGAGGCTGAGTGGAAAAAAGTGGGGAAGCTGAGAGAAGAGAGAGAAAGAGAGACAGACATAGGTAGCCCGCCCCGCGTTGACAAAGAGCTTCCGGAGAAATGAGCTGCCACACCAACTAGTCGATTTTTTGTTCCAGCTTTACTGAGCGCATTACGAGACTCGCTTTAACATTTGAGTCAAAATTTCCTTCGAATACTTTACCATATTTTATTATTTTATCTAATGATGCCAGATAGCAGAACTACATTACTATATTAGCAAGTACTTTATATGGCAGTACTATACTGCTGATTTACTATATGATGGCAAAACTAACATCGGATATTAAAACAGCACATTCGAAAATCTCCGAGTATTGATTAAAAATGTTCAAGAAAAAATATTAACTCCGTGTACGATTTTCATATGATAAAAAATTTACGTACAAAATTGCTTGTTAATGGGTTCATTTCAAAGAATCTAATAAGGTCGCCGAAGGTCATCTTTTTTTTACTCTACTGTTATATACTCAGTGGCTGATTAGAAAAATTGCCGCCCCCGCGCAAACTTTCATTAGCCGCTCACGCAAATTCAAAAACAATAATGAAAGATTTTAGTAATTTTGAAGAAAGTTAAGAAAACATTTTTTTGTTTCAAATTGAATTTTTAAATGGTTCCTAAGTTGCTACAACAATATGTTTAGATAAAACATATTGTTATTACCGATCTTGCCTCTCATAGCTGTAATAATCGGTTTGTTAGCAAATTCATCAAAATTTTTCATTTTAATTTTATTACGTGGGGTTCATCAAAAATCTTATAGTGAATTAAACGCTCGTCCTATTCAAAGTTCCAAATAAGACATGAAAAAACTCTTAGCTGATCGTTGCATGGAGGGCTACAAGAACTAAGTTAACAAAATATGCATCAAGAGTATAGTAATTTACAACGTCAGTGTAAAAAGGTGTAATGATAGTTGAACGTCATAAGTTCAGCTCATATACAATCATATCAGTATGATTTTTATTTAAATTGTGGAAAAATATCTATATAAGTATCCATATCTGTGGTGGAAAGGACTAACGAGATAACTCCATTTTTTCGAAATCGAGTTTATGACATGAATTACCTATTTGTTATGTCTACTTTAAGGTACAAGTGTCAAAAAAGCTGAAAATAGCACCTATCGTTCAATATAATACCGTGCGTAACAAGATAAGTCCATTTCGCTGCAAACGATTCCCGGCCAAACGAGATAAGTCCACCTTTTCGAGTTCCAAAATGCGATTAAGAGTCTAGATTGATTTGAAAATGGGAGAAAATGATATTCCAACATACAAATGGCTCTCACACTCTTCGAATGTTGTGAATTTCACTATACAGTTGGTACATTTGATACACGAGGGGTCATTTTCGCAATTTTCAGTGTGGCCTTTTTTCGTTGCAAGATTTGAGATCTGACCCCAGTATAACGTTAAATGAGCTATTTTATCAATGTAAAATCATTACATGAGGTTTTGATCACAAACTAAGTGAAATTATCGATATTGAAAAAAGTGTGACCGCAAAAAGCGGACTTATCTGCTAAGCGGGGAAAGGGCTAAGGAGATAAGTCCATAGTTTTTGCTCCGTATTATCACTATGATGCACCTTTCAATTTCATAAGTACATAGTTCAAAAGATACCTCATAATAGGTAAAAATATCGTAGGTACAGATCTTTAGTCGTCCGCGTCTAGCTAGGCCCTCGTGCGCAACTTAAAACGCGTTTTTCTCGAAAACACGAAAAATGGAGTTATCTCGTTAGGCCTTTCCACCACAAATATATATTTAAAATAGTCAATCATCATTTCTTTACGAAATTGTGGCATGCGTATAATGGACTGTCTTTTGGTGCCGAATCATAGTCCATTTATTTCCAAATTTCTGCTCGCACCTGTCGCACGCATAATCTTTGCGCCCATCGTGAACTATATTTTTTTCCTGATCCAATGAGCTTTTTGACCAAATTTTTTTTCGCAATTTTTGCATGTGTAATCTTTGCGAGCTTCGTGGACAGTCCTTTGGTGCATCAGCAAATTTGATTTTTGTCCAAATTTCTGCTCGCATTTATCACATCCATAATCTTTACGACCTTTGTGAACTGTGTTTTGATGGACGAGCAAGTGCGTTTTTTGTCCAAATTTCTTCTCGCACTTATCACACGAGAAATCTTTGCGACCTTCATGTACTAATTTTTTGTGCATGAGCAAGCTCGATTTTCGTCCAAATTTTTGTTCGCATTTATCACATGCATAATCTTTTCCACCTTGGTGTACTTGTCTTTTGGTGTAAAATAAAATTTTATTTGCGTCCAAATTTTTTCCCACAATTATCACATAAGTAATTTCTTAAAACTTCATGAAATATATTTTTGTGCTTGAGCAATGTTGACTTATTTTTAAATTTTCTCTCGCACTTATTGCATGAAAAATCTTCTTGATCTTTATTTACTAATTTGTGGTTCATAATCAAACTTGATTTTTTCACCAATTTTTTCTCGCACTTATCGCATGCGTAAATTTTTTTATCATTATAAATTGTATTTCGGTATGTTATCATGATCGATTCCAAAGTAAGCACCTCCTGGCAAATATCACAAACGTATTGTTTTTTATTTGAAACAACAATGTGGTGTTCACTCAAATTATTTTTCAAGGCAACTTCTTCAGGTTTCTTCTCACTTGTATTTATTTTGGTGCTTAAAATGAACGATGGAACTTTTTATTTAATTTTAGTGCTATGGTTTGTTTCATCGGGTAAGATAGAATTTATACTAATTTGTCTTTACTGTAAACATGATCAGTGTGTCGAGGGAATATGTTAAAATCGTTTATGATCAATTTGTTTACAATTAAGTTACCGATTTATTTATTTACAATATTTGAAACAATTTAAAATTCTAACTTGTCGACGATTCTTCGAGGAACTTTTGGCCTTCTAAAACTAAGAACTTTAAAAAAATTTCCTGTAACATCGATTCAAAACATCCTTATAACATATCTATTTATATATTATGATAAAATTTTTAATATTTACCCCGAAATTTGCCGCCACTGTTCGATGCCGCCCCCAAACCGTGGCGTGATTGGCTTGCTGCATAACACGCTATTGTATATACTCACATACTATACTACTAGCTTAAAATTTGTTGGTATTTTGACCTATACATAACGTAGATATAACTATTCACAAATTATATATTTATTAATCCCCTTTAATGTTATAAAACGCTAATAACCAAGCTGATTATTGCATAAAATTCCAAAAGAAACATTGAATTATATAATTCGAGTAAACGCGATTTTTTTTAACTCGTTTCACAAACGTATATTGATGCTCACCATCTTTCATACTTTTATAATACGTCATATTTAAATTTTGAAGGAGTCGACGAGCCCAAAATATATTTCATTAATTGCATAAAGGCACGTGCCTAAGATTGATATCTATCGAATCATCGAGATTACCTTTAGGAGAGAAGACGTTCACGAGGCTTAGCCGTCATTACGTCCGTTAGTCGTCCGGAAATATAGTGTCATTTAAATGAGCAGGTTTCTTGTATGATCAAAACGTTAGGATGGGCGTGTTGCAGCTTCGTATTTATGCAAAGCAACGAACTTCTTAACGCGCGCAAAAAGAAGTTGTTTTCTGCAGCCAAGACGTTAGCCGAGACTCCTTGCTTTGCAACAAACAAGGAGGCGGGCAAATTTAGCTAAAGGTGGTTAGAAGAAAAGGTGGAAGCTGTTTTTTCCCTACAAAGACTTTCTCAAGAAATAAAGTCTGTCCGTGATGGTTCACACGGCAAGATGTTGCTTGTTAAAGTTTGAAAATGGTTCAACCAAATATACTATTAAATTTTAATTGTCGTGAGATTCTTTCCATTTCAAAAATATTTTCGTGTTTTCCTATATCATCACTGATACTAGTTCTGAAGAGAAATACCGTCATGATCAGAAAAAAAACATGCTTTACACTCACATCGTAATTTAAAACTTATAAGATAAAATCATTTTTTATTTTTTTATAATTGCGTTAATTTAAGACTGTGTGATGATGCACACTTTACAAGAATACTTGGTACCACTGTTACAATTAATTTGTGTTGTAGCATTACGGGATCTATTTATAGACGTTCGTCTGCCCTTTAAGTACCTGTTCTAGAATTAAATTTTTTGAAAAGTAAAAAAAGCATCAAGTGGATTCCTTTGGTACAAATTGCGCCCAATGAGTGGAGATGTGCCAAAAATGTAACAGTCATCAATTAATTATCGAAAGGATCTATGATTCCGAACAATAGGTCGGTAACAAGTTTTGTTAACGTTGATTGTTTGCATTTTGTACATGGTAGTTAGCGAAAGAGGTTGGAAAAAGCGTGCGAGTGCATGTAAGAAGCTGGTAATAGTCTTTGAAACTCGATTATTAGCTGTAGCTGCAACAAAAGGTCGGTTGGTTGAATTGTAAGGCCTCGACTATTAGAAGGAAAGGAGCATCAGAAAAAGTAAGCGAATGGCTTGCGCGCGAGAAAGTAGAAACAGCAGAAGCAGCAGCAGGAGCAACGACTGCAAAAGAGAGCATGAGAATACGCGGTAGAAAGACGCCTGAATTCGAGGGAGAGAACGAGAAGAAAAACAAGAAGGAGCCGCGCGACGTTCGGGCGCGAGCAAGAAGACGAAAGAGCAAAGAGAGAGAAGGCGGTGCAGAGGGTGACAAGTAGTATACGTATATAGAAAGGACGAAGCGATGCGCAGAAATCAGAGATTCTTATACGCGTCACATCGCCATTTTTAAAGGAGCCCGTACAGGAGCGAGAACTTGTGCCTTTGCTTTCTAACGTGCAGAGCGAGAGCATGGGCCAAGAAACGGCCATCCTGGGCGGAGACATCCGGCTCTCCGGTTACCTTGCTCTTCGTCGAGCAGAAAGAGAGAAAAAAGGCAGCGCGCGCGCGCGAGCGAGAGGCAGTGCAACGTGCGCGACTCGTCTTGGCGGGATAGCTTATACCTACTTCTTGACGGTGGGAACTTCTTGCCCTTACCGCGTCGCGCTCTCTTGCTTCTTCGATCCCGAGCGCAACGACGACGACGACGACGACGAAGAAGCCTTTGAGATCGGTCTGAGAGTTGCTTTCGCCCTCGCGCGTACCGCCTCGCAACTTTACACAATGCGCGCGCTCGTATATATGTACCTGAGCGCGGACTCGGTGCCCCGTGTTATACGAGAATCAAATGAAGAAAAAAAAAGAAGCAGGCCGGGATCGCTTCGCTCTGTACGTATATGCGCGCAGTTACACATGCTCGCGTACCTATACACTACATAGGTGTACAATGTTATATTTTTATAATGTACACCATGTCATTTAGCCTTGATGTCTACCTGATGTGGGTGTAATCACGGACTTTGAATGGCTACGCGCGTTACTCACTTGAGATTTGTTCTTGTATTATGTGTAAGGGAGGCTACTTCCCGCTTTAACTATACTCGTGATACGTACGTTGCAAATAAAAGATGAACATCGATTCGCCGAATCCTTGACGAGGAGCATTTTTTTCTTCTGTAACTCAATTAAACAAATGAGATTTCGATCGAATGAAAATATGGCTTGCTTCATTGAAATCGGCTTCGCTCAACAAAAATGAGTGCCCAAACAAAAGCGCAATAAAAGAGTATTCCTGCAACATGAATCGAGATCTCATATAGCCTCTCATACCGAAATTTTTTCATTTAATGATGATATTCTACAAGGTGTAATGCCGTGTCTTTTCTATTCTATTAATTTCTCACCGCCCTTTTGATTTTCCTCAAACGTTTTTCCATACTATTTTACAGCCTCTAATAATTCACATTTTATAATAAGTTTTTAAACGTGGGGATACTATCTGACAATAAAAGAAGAGAGAGAGAGAGAGAGAGAGAGATAAATAGAGAAAACTAATCCTTCTTTTGGCCTATCATACGCTTCACTGCGTGTAAAAACTGTTGCATAAACTGCACACACAACTAGATCGACCGAAGGACAAAAAGGCTCGGCTTTGACGCTCGCGTGATAGAGAATAAGCTCTCCTATTGCGCCGCTTTAAGAAACGACTCCGAATGAATTTATAAATGCTCGACAGGGTTGCGAATATTTTTGCATGTGCGTTACTCGCTCATTTTACAAAGTGAGTCGCAAGCCGCCAACATTTTGATGTTAAAACCCAGATAGCGTAAGCATCGTATTTTGTGCCTCCGCGCGAGGTATTAATTGTGTCAACGAATCCAAGTCACCGGAGAGCAGCGGCGCGTTCGATCGAGCGAGAGTACATTAAGAGTCTAAAAAAATTCAAGTATACATTATCCCCCTATTGTTGCCGCGGCAGAGCCGAGATCTCCGGACGACACCGCAACAACAAAATTGTTGTAGTTGAAAAGTCCAGTCGCTCTTCCCGTTTAATGAATTGCGCGCTCAGGTCAGGTAGTCTTTTTTGCCTCGCTCATTTGAACGAAGATTTTGAGACTTTTTATATGTAATAATGATCGAGTCGAGCACAAAGCTCTATTCATTTTCGATGAATACAATGACGAGCCACGTACTTTTCACTACACGTATGGCATGGATATACGCGTGTGTGTATGCGAGTGTGCGTAATAGAGATCGCCTAAGCCAGTGGCATACATCCGAAGTTACTAATGCATTCTTTAGAAACGTAATCGCGTCATTTCTACGAATGAGAATTTCCAAACGACGTCTCTCATCAAAATTTACGCGCTGACAAGCCTACAGCAGCAGATTTTTTTTCACCTCCAACGAATCCATCATGCCTGTATCATAAATGGCTAAGGATCTCTGCCGTGATTGACATTTGATAATACGAGTGTTATTAACATTTGAAAGTGATTCCTTGAAAAATAAATCCAATTGACTCTGCAGATTTCCGATCGCGTTGACTTTTTCTTCTATTTCTGACGACTTTTCTAATGAGTATTAGAAATCAAATATTACATAATCGCAAACAACCAAAGTTCTATCATAGATCTGGGCCTACGGGCAGTATTAGTAAAGATTCATGTTCATAAAAAATACTTCGTGTCTTATTAGTTATAAAATTGGAAATTGTATTGTAGAGTTAACTTTCGCATCACAGAATTTTTTAAATAAAATAATGGAATTTTCATTACACAAAATTTATCTAATAAAATAAAAATATTTTTAAACTAGATTATATGATTAATATTTAAATTATGATATAAAATGGAATTATTTCATAGTAAAATTAATAATTTATTACTGTAAATAAAGTACTGAAATATTCTACAAAGAGCGATAGTTGAAATTGATTTTTTTCCGTTAGTCGATTGTTTTTATTTATTTTGTTTCTGAGTGTATTAATCGAATAAATGAGTCGTCGGAAAATTAATTCAGCCCACGCATGACGGGGCATGCATCACGAGAAATTGGATTAAGAGGGAATAATAAATGTAAATGCGCGTCCTCGATGAAAATTGATAAGGTAGTGCGATGATCGACGATGGGCAGTATTATATTTTTGCGATTTGCCGATGCATAAGTAGCTGACGTTGGACGTTAGCTGTATAATGTTTCAACGAATCCAGCTGCATACATTCGCTCGAGCAATGCGCACGGGCAATCAAACGGGTAATCGGATCACGATTGAATTAGGGTTTGTAAAACTGACATCTGGAATATCATCGGTCTCGTGCACGGATCACCCAGTAGTTGCACCCTTTGAATATATAAAAAAAGACTTGCTGCTCTAAATGGCTACAATAATTTCCTACTCGAATCTCACTCATATTAAACATAAATATTACGTAGGTCAGGGCAGATTAAAATTTCTATGCCAAAGACGTTACATGAATATATGTGTATATTATAAATTTGAAAAATAAAAAGAGAGATTGCTCTCTGCGAGAAGGTAGAAAGACGGAGAGGAATTTTTCCGCATATTATGAATCAATCAGAAAAGTAAATACGTCATAATAGAGCGAAAAGAAAAATCTTAAAAATACACTCGAGCCGGAGCTGCGCTGTCGATAGGTATATATACATTTTATACACAGGGCATATGCTCTTCAGAGTAGACGAGCTGCCACTGTGGCGTTCGTGTACAGAGAAGCGCAGCAAATTATAAGAAAATAGATTAGCACGATGAGAGCCGGAGTGAAGAGCGACGACGACGTTGGCGGTGGTGCGTGCAGCCTGTAAATATAATAACAATAAAAAACGTATTGCAGTAGGGGTCTCTTATTGTTGTACATTATAAACGGAGCCGAGAGCTGTGGCGGTCGAGAGGCGCGCGCGCGCAACGTTTTGATTTTTGTGCGACTTCGATGCCCGCCGGCGACACCGCGCAGAGGCACACACACACACACGGTCGAGCTTCGAAGCCGAGGAAAAACATATTATGATAGAGCTTGAAAATTTCGTCGCCCTAAAACAACATCGTTTTATAAGCAAGGATCTATATGGACGGTAGCGATCTGCGAGCCCCATCATCGCGTGCATAACGCGAGCACGCACGCACCCGGTGCTTCTGCATGGACAATCGTATTTTCATTATTCGCTCTCTCTCTCTTTCTCTCTCGTGTTTAGCAGTCAGAGGTCCCACATTACAGTCGTTTAGCTAGAATTTTGCCTTTTTGACACGACGACATGAATCTCTCCCTCTGCTTTTCTCTAGCCGATCGCTGCCTCGTACTTATGCAGTATATTCATTCACACACGCATAAACTCACTCCCCCTTGTGCCGCATTATCTGCGCACTTATATTTATATAGCTCGAGGTTTACGCGCTATAAATGAGTGCGCTGATGCCTTTATTCAGGGAATGTATGTATATACGGGGCATTTTTTGTCGAGGCACCGACGACGACGACCCAAAGAGAGAGAGAAGCTCATCCACCATTACGCATCTCTGAGTCTATTCAGAGCTCGTGAATTGATTCAAGATCTGGCTATATGGTCTGTGAGTGCGGACAACCGCTTTATTAATCGGACTCAACAAAAGAACTCGGCTATAAGCTGCAGTCGGAATCAACACACAATTTTGCGCGTTTCTTTTTTATTGTACGATGCTGCCTCGCTAAGTACTGATAAAACCGTTGTCGAGATATTACGAATGTCTGTCAACTATGCAGATACTCATTACGTACACGACAAGCTATCAACGAAATTTCGAAAAACTATTTTTAAATTTAGCTTTGGATTCAAAGATGAAATAGATGCAATTTTATAAATAATTAAAAAATTGAAAAAAAAATCGAACGAATTTATCCGTATATTGATCAATACGAAACTCGAACTGTCTACAAGCATGCACATCTACAGATTAATCATGGACTTTCGACGATTCTTTTAAAAATAATTAATGCGCCTTTTATTACGAAAGTTAATTTAACACCTTTTACAAAACTCGCCTCAGGTGCAGGAAGCAGTTAGGCGACGAAATGTAACGAGCTCGAAAAACAATTTTGCTTCGTGACAAATTGTCAAGGAATTTGGCAAGCAAAGAACGAAGGAAGAATACATGGGACTTGGCGCCATGTACACGGGGTGTTGACTACCTTTGTGCTGCGCGTCGTACAAGCACGCTGGCAGCTCCGTCGGGCAGTTTAGAGCTTCCAACTTGCCGAGTTAAAAGTTTGCATCGGCGCGCATCGCACGAGGCATCGGCGAAAAGCCAGGAACAATGGGCTCAGCGCTCGGTAGTAGACGACTCGGGCGCGCGCGCGCGTCAAAAAACCGGCTTTGTTCGCGATCGCCACCCCGCATGCAAAAGCCAGGCCTAATTTTTCAAATAGTTACGCAGATAATCTCTCGCTCGGCAACATAATGTGCGAGTATATATATTCGGGACGAGACGAGGCTCGACATATTGTACCGACTACAGCTCGTACGCCTAGCCTCTATTTCGTTGTTCACGATCTTGTCCGTGTATTATGTTTCAGACCTTTTATGTGTACCTATATATATATTATTGTAAATAGAAAATCTCACATTCCGCGCCAATCGACTCGCTTCCACGTCAATCTTCCGTTCTGATATTACTGTATACGAGTACGTTGAGTCTATTTCAGCGTGCATAGTTGACCGAATCTCTCTCTCGACCACCAAGTGCACTTTACATTCATCGGCTGCGATAATCAAATAGAAGGATGTGCACATCCTCCGAAAATGCTATAAGAAACCTATAGATCGCGTAGGAGCTATTGGTCTACTACTTGAAAATCCATATCGGCATAAATCCTATATCGAATTCTAAATATTACTGCTGGTGCGAGCGCTAAAGTTACGAAGGCAACTACAATATATAATATCCTTGCGATCTCGATTCTTCGAGGCTCGATGCGATTTCCTGCCAATAGGTAACGGTATATAAAGTTTCGATTTTTACGCTCGTTGACACGAACGTCGCGCATAAAACGTAATCTGCGCAGAAATTTTCGAAATATTACCGAAATATTTGCCATTCAGGGCTGGAAAATTATGCCTGTCAAGTCGAGAGGGCACGAGTGTGTAATTTCCAGCTGCGAGCACACGCGTACAATGGGATAAACGGCTAAAGAAGAGTATCTCGTCTATTATCTCAAAGCTAAACGTATCGGGCCTGACATGCTCCGCGAGTGTGCAGGTACAAAAGCGCGACTACACATATTTCAAGACTCGTCTAACCCTCGGCTCGTCCAAGAAAAGAAAAACGTCCGCGCGTACTACGATGTAGAAGCCAAATTTATCGAAAGATCTTTGAAAGATCGATCTAGGCTTTCGTGTTTATGCTGCGTGCACTACTCTTTGCAGTAGTTCGCACTGCCGCCCGAGCGTCTCCGTATGATTTTTCTTCTTCGCGCGCGCAAAAATTCACTCAAAATGGAGTCACATAGTCATATCGAAAGGCCACGGACGTTCTCCTCGAGTACCGCTGAGCTCGCATCTGCCTCGTACGTCGATGCCCGTGTGCTTGCGTATATTATTCCGTATCATCCTCGTAAATACGCGCGTCTGTGTTTGAGTAGGGATCCCGTGCGGTATGTCATATACGTGCGACTGTGTGCCTGGCTGCGAGTATATGCAAGGATATATTATACATTGTACGCGCATAGTATACGCATCGACGAATCACAACGGAGCCAAAGTGCCTGAATGGCCGGCCCGCGGCCAATTTCCCTTCTCTTTCTGCAGAGATGACGCCCGAAATTGCTGATTTTTTTTGCAAGGGACTAGACAACGCATACTTGTATCATTTGCCCGACTTATATTCAAGTGCAAGAATAACGGGGTACAGTATTGTACTCGGATGCGCTTGGTCGAGTGCGATTCTACTCAAGAGGGTGTTACATTTAATCGAAAGAGAAAAAACTATTTTATCTATGTCGATATAATTTCATTTATCTTATTCACTTTTGCAATTTCCGTTCTTTTGTATAATGCCTTAAAACACCACCGATTATATATTATAAAATTAATTTGCTTATAACAAAAAAATTATAATCACTCCGAGAAAAATAAATCAAAAAAATTAATAGTTTATAGTAACCGATGGGTTTACGCACAAACTTTTATAAAAATTGCTATATTACAGCAAAAAAATGTCTACTTAAAAAAAGTAATTTTTACAATTTAGTCATTTTTATAAACATTCTATAGTACATCCCTTGATTACTATGAAATTAGCGATCTTTTCTTAAAAGCGAACAAATATTTAGGATAATAAACTTTACATATAGTTATTATGTAATTTTTTAGAACATAAATATAGAAATGAAAAATTTCGATATAATATAAATGATTATCAATACGTCCAAGTGAGGGTCCCCTTTCAAAACCCTTTCAGCTAAATGAGACTTTTGCTAAAAATTTAAAAAAAATGTACAAGTTTTATTTGATTTATTTAAATGATACTCTGACAAAGGCTAGTCAGTTATTTCATTTTTAGCTTATTTGTGCAATTAATAATAATTTAAAATTAGTTTTTAAATAATAAATAAATGTAATGACCCACAACACAACCATGTAGATTGTCTACAACATGGAATCATTTTATATTAAACTGAAAGTCGCATCGTTTGACTTTATAGAACTGGCAGGTGAAATTTAAAGCGCTTAGATAAAATTGCATTATTAGATAAAACAAAATGTTAGCCTCGAAAATACACACGTCCTTTGTCCAAAGCACGAAACTCCGATCAACGCAAAACTTTTTACTTCTCTTGTACGCGCTCGTCTTTATACTTTTGGTGGGTGGAGCCAAGGGAATCTCTCGCGGTAGAGGGGATAAGGTTCATACGCCTGGGCTGAATCAAGAAGGGATGCCGACTCTGCCAATGGAAGTTCGTCGTTGCTCGTAATAAAAAGAGAACAACCCTTGATGCTTTAGTCAGTAGTCGCTAATCTTCACTCTGCGGTGGACCTCGAAACTCGAAGTACAGACATTTCTCTTCTCAAAAAGTGGGGAAAAAAGTGCCAACATCTGTAGAGTGAATTGCTTATTTTTGAAAGTGCTGGTGTTTAGTTGGAAATTTGCCGAGTTTACTTGTGCGACCAACTTTTCTGTTGTTGTTATTACTGCAGTTGTTATTGTAGTGAATGTTGTTGTTGTTGTTGTGGCTGTTGTTGTTCTGTGGTCTGAAATTTTGGAAAAAATACGACGAGTGCCTCGTCGTTTTGGCATAAAAGTGACACTCAATTTCGATCCGGATGAGTCAAGAAAGTAAAATTAAAACTGTTCAAAAACCAGAAAAAATGGCCTCTTCAAGTGAGTATTATACTTCAATCGGTGCAAAAGTTGTAAAAATTTAGATAAACAGAATGTCATTGAGCAAAGTGTTCATAATGGAATCTGTATATCGAATAATCAAATGTTTTGCGAATACTATAATGCAGATCTCCACTTTTACAAATACCCGTGAAATTTATTTTATTTTTGTCAAATAATTTTGTTTCAATAATGTTGCAAGAATAAATATTAGTAAGAGTCTGCTTCTACTTTCGGGTGCTTTCGTTCAGAAATCCAAAAAGATTGATTAGCTCGATGAAGAGCGGCAATCTTGCCGTCGCGCCACTATGCACGCATAAATTTTTGAAATGCGCTCGACCGCATCTCAAAATTTCGTAGACTAAAAGACCGTTACTTGTAATTCGCAGGCCGCATTCTGGTGGACGTGCCGTGCGAGGTGTGCGCCGACCACTCCTCGGGCAAGCACTACGGCATATACACCTGTGACGGGTGTGCGGGATTTTTCAAAAGGTCGATCAGGCGAGGACAGGGCTACAGTTGCAAGTCGCGAGAGCTCTGCATCGTCGACAGAACGCACAGAAATCAGTGTCGGGCTTGTCGGCTCTCCAAGTGCCTCGCTGCCGGCATGAACAAGGACTGTGAGTGCCCCGCAATTGTTACCACGATCGATCGTAAAAATCGAGGACGACTGAAACTGAATCTTGCATCGTTTTTTCAGCTGTTCAACACGAGCGAGGACCGCGAAATTCGACGCTGCGAAAGCAGGTGGCCTTGCTGTACGGCTCGTCGCCCTACGACCGCTCGTCGTCCCATCCGAGGAGGTCGTCGGTGCCGCCAGCCCCTCCAGCGCCGCTACCGCCTACGCTCGCAGCCCCGGTTGCGCTCAACCTCGCTCTACCCAAGCCCGTCGTGAGCGAGCCGCTGATACCGTCCTCGGTGGCCACCACGCCGGTTCTGCACAACTCGCGCTCGTCTTTTTATCCGGTCCTGGATTTTTCCCCAAAGGTACGAGCTTGTCTATAGCCGCACAATATTTTTTATTCGAATAAACGATGCATGCATGAATAAGAATTAAGATCGATCGATTGATATACGAGTGAAATTTAACGAAATGCCTTGTATGATTAGATGTCGCCGTCACCGCCGATGCTGCACCAGCCCCTGTTCAGGCTGCCGCTGATCCTCGACACGGTGAACGAGCAAGCGGCCCGGCTCATCTTCAACAACGTCCACTTCGTCCGCGACATAAACGCCCAGACGAAGCTCTGCTTCGAGGACCAGCTGACGGTGCTGGAGGCCTCGTGGCGCGACCTCTTCCTCATCGGGGCCTCGCAGATGTACCCGCTCATGGACCCGGCCGAGATGGGCGGCATCACGCCCGACCTCGTCGTCCAGTGCATACGCTTCCGCGACATCATCAGCGAGTTTCACAATCTCCAGCTGAGCAGCGAGCAGTACTCGATAGTCAAGGCCGTCGTGCTGTACCGGGCGGGCCTGGACTACGACTCGGAGATCAGCAGCAGCCCGAGCAGCAACGGCTCCGGCTCGCCGCTCAGCACCGGCCGACTCAAGGACCCGCGACAGGTGGCTCGCCTCAAGATGGACGCCGAGTCGATGCTCTGGGCCAACATACGCCTGACCAGTCCCACGCTCTGCGAGATCAAGCTCAGCCGGATAGCCTATCTCATACCGCTGCTGCAGCTCGTCTCGAGAAAGTCCATCGAGGACTTCTTCTTCAGAAAGGCCATCGGCGACACGAGGATCGAGAAAGTCATCACCGACATCTACGTCAGATCGCTCAATCAGCGTTGAAACACCAGCAGCAAAGGCAATATATCCCAGTCAACTTGCCGAACTTCAGGCTTTCCGTCCACAGCTGTCCAATGAAAAATCCAGTGAATGCTCATCGAACATCCATTAGATACCTTAGAAAAAAAGTATTACCAGCCAAGCCACGTGAGCTATTTTTGTGATATACGTAAAAGACGTTTGTTATATTTACCATTACCTTTATTTAAATGTCCAACGTGCATTATTATTAACATAAGGTCGCATAGTGTACATACAATTATATTATACATAAATAGATTAATAGATATATTATATGTGCTCGAAAATATTTCGTTCGTCTTTAGAATTTCTTAGTTAATCGATAATAATTGTAAATATTAAGAGATTATATGTATAAAAAAAAATTATGGAAACTGTATTAGAAATACACTTTTTTATGTGATATATAAATAATAATAACATTATTAATAAAGTTTGATAATAAACTTATGAAATTTTTCGTCAGAATTACTTGAATAAAAAATGATAACACGAGTTTTTCTAATGTCAAGCTTGCGGTTTTCCGAAAAAAAACTTATTCCGTAGTTGTCAAAATTGTGCTTGAAAATTTAATATTCACAACAAAGTTTCGAGTGCGATTATATCTTTCGTAAAAACTCGACGCTAAACTTGGTCTAAAGAAAAAAGTGCAGCTGCATCGACAAACTGATCCGTAAAAACAACGATGGTAAAAAAAAATCAATTTAATTCTTCATGGTCATTTCGCTTCAAAAGTGTCCTCTCGTTCGTAACTTTTATTCGAATAAAAATCAAAATAACTTTTCGATGCAAAAGTAGCACAGTTGACCGATCACGACGATGGCCGTAGGATTTTGAAAAACAAACGAAAAGCCGAATAGGATGTAGCTTTGGGAGGACGACCGTTGGTCGCGTGCGTCAGCGCGCGGCGAAAAGGATGAGCTGTACTGCCAGGACGTGTGTACACATGACGCTGGATTCCCATGGCTGAGTGATTCAAGGTGACGCGCGCGCGGGGCCAAGCCGTAGGGGGTACATCTTTCCGCACAGGCATTAGTACGCGTAGTATGTAATACGCGCAGGGCAGGTAGCAGCAAATCGCGCGGTATCATCGTAATTACGGCGCGCGCGCGACTCTGCTGTTGTTGTTGTAGTATAGTACGGCGTTCGCGGGGGGTCGCCGCTCGCCACTTGCTTTTGTCCGTTGAAACATTTGCGTTGGAGTACTGAACGCGACCGTTGCTGCTTCTGCTGCCCTACACACATGTAGGTATAGCTCACAGGACGCGTACGCGTATGCGTGTGTTTTCGCAGCAAAAATGACACCGATACGCAGAAGCGTCCGTGAGAAATTTCGGCAGGTTGTGTGTGCCGCGCGCGCATCGGTCGGAGAATCATTAATTTTATTGCGAGCACTCGAGAGAGCGGCGCGTGTATTATGTTTTCTCTCGAACTCGAGCTTAATGCAACATCACGCTTTTATCCTAATATATATATTTTTGCCGTAATGCGCGCGCTACCGAAATGCTCTTAATTTCTCCGCGTCGTTCTGTACTCGAAACAAAAGCGTCGATAATTATTGCACGAGTGCGTGTAATTATTGCACGCGGCAAATAATTCGTGAGACGCAGCGTCGTAAGCGAGTCATAATTATTGCAACTTTTTTTACAACGATGAAAATTTTATTCTTTTCAACAAAGTCCTGTGCATTTCAGAGCGCGAGGAGGAATAGGTGCTATTCGCGTATACGCGTATATAAGATATACATGCGAGTAGCTAACAACGCCGAATGCGCACGTATACGCACACATGTATACCGGTGGTATAAACACCTGACAGACACGTTGGCGCGTGCATTCGACGTTCTTAATTATATATACTTACGAATGTGGCGTACGTTCCAGATGAGTCGAGCACATCGAAAAGTTCACCTATTATATAGACCCCCAGCCGATGTAATAGCTAACGAGAAATTATAAAGTCTCTTTATGACAGACGTTGTTCTGACATTTTCCAATTTGCTCATTGTTCTTTTTATTTATCGAACAGTCATTTTTCTCGATCGATATTGCATTCGACAATATTATCTACATAACGTGGTGGGCTAGTGTTGCAGCTATAGCGTATTTTTCTACTCGATAATGCAAAATATGTGTCTGACACGAATTTCCTGCTTACAAATAAAAGCAGTACAAGGCTTATATCGCGAGGGACATATTTGCTAGTTCAGCCACCTTTTTCATCGCTCGCTTGACATTTGATCTAACTCAATGAGCTCGGAATCTTCTATTATCGATCGGACGCTCAGCTGTGTAATTGCTGTAACTACCGGCAAGCGGCTACATATACAATTATATCTGCTCCGATAAAAATGCTCATTAATACACTTGAACTTTGTCCGAGTAATAGTTTGCCAAATGTGACGCGGCCGACGCACTGAATTAAATGGCCACTTTTGTCCTCTTCTCCAAGAAATAAACAATTATTTTCCTTGGATTCGTATGCGAGCTCGTAGTTACCTGCACGGGTGTACGTATGAATTGTACGGTGCTGATAATTCGATGCCTGAACTCGCTGCGCGTTTTCTTCTCGCTCATTTAGCAGCAACGAGTACGGCCAAGACTAGCCGTGTGTCACTACGTTAATTATAATTGCGAGCTCGCTTATAGCCACAAAGTTAGGACATTTATCGAAACGGGGGGAGACTGAAAAAGAGAAAAAGTTATGTGTATATATCGGTAATGCGCGTACAACGCATGCGACGTATACCACTGCAGGCGTATACGCTCTATATGAAGACGACACGATCGTACCTTCTCGGAGCCTCGCCAACATACACAACTATATGGAGTATTGTAAAAAAACTCGTGAATTTTTTAGCACCCCAAGTCTTCTCTCCCTCCGGCCTACATGAATGTATAAGAGCGATAAAAAATTCAAGTGCGCCGGTCAGCCCGCACCGGTGTATATGTGCAGCGGCAAGTAGCAGCATTGCGAGCGGTAATTTCGTTCAAGCGCGCACGAAAGCTTTTTTCGCGCAAAGGAGCCACCTATACGTGTTTCGCGCGCGCCGGAAAGCGCACTCCTCTAAACGCTTGCGCGGTTGCTTTCTTTATTTACTTCCTTCTTCCTACTCACTGTGTGTGTGTGTGTGTGTGTGTGTGTGTGTGTGTGTGTGTGTGCAACCGAACGACATTTTGGACCTTAACACGCGTGGGCTGGTCTTTTCATTATTCACTTTTTTTCAATTTTCTTCCTAAGGCCGAGAGCAGAGCGAGAGGATTAAGAGCACGGGGCATCCGATGGCTCTGACGATTATGGCGCCTGTGTATATATGTAGAAACGACGAGAGCGAGAAACAGGATGTTCGCTTCGGTTTGAGGGCTTGCTTTGTCCTTTGATACAGCGTCGTGAATGAAGACCTTGGCAAAAGTTGCGTACTCCGAGGCCGAATTTTTTTGTCATTTTCTGTCGATATTTTTGACTCATGCGGATTTTCTGCGAAGCGAGGCGCAGAAATCAATCGATTGGCAGCTGAGCTTCCGAACAAAACTCGACATTTTTTTTCCGTCGCGCATCTATGCAGCGACGAGCTAAATAATTCAGCGTGTAATTGTTGTAACGAGAATCTCTGTTAGTATTCATTAGTATAAATGCAGGTAAATAAAATGGAGCTCGCTGAACTTTTTCCGCTTGCGCGACGAAAATTCAATAATGCAAAGAAAAGTATGCGAAACAACGGTAAATGTCTTTTTTTCAAGAGACAACTGGACAATTTCGTCGCGCGCATTTTCTTATGCTGAAAGCGAACGTAAGTGCACGAATCCGTATAGCTGCATACAAAGACACGAAAACTGTAATTGAGCATACGCGCGCCTACCCCATGCAGCTCGCCAGGGAAAGAGAAAGAGAGAGAGAGAGAGAGAGAGAGAGAGAGAGAGAGAAAGAGACTGCCCGGCGAACGGCTGCATATATACGAAAAAAAAGCGAGCATCGGCAAAAAAGTTTGCGTAAATACAGCATAACGCAGTTTATTCCTGCAGGTCGAACTTTTTCTTTCACGCGTACATGCTTATCATTAATCATTTAGTATTCCGCGGCTGCAAGTGTAAATGCATTATAGCCGAGTGCACACGCTATACGCTTCCTTTGCTGCCCATTGACTGAGCTCACCATACGTTGTTTCTATATACTTTTAATTCCCCGACCCATTTCGTATAGTTCGTATTCTATCTATTAATTGAGAAATTAAATTCATAATCGAATTACGTGAAGGATTTTTCGATGAACTTTAATAGTAGCAATTCGTCTTGATCATTATTTTTGTAACTTTCATAATTGCTTTTGGACTTAAACCCGGAGTTCTTGTTAAGCTAGCATAATTTAAATATTTCAAACACATTACTTAAATTTGTATTAAACTTTACAAGTTTCTATTTTTTCGTTAATTTTTACACTGTTCATATATTAATAAAATTTACCACTTGAATTTAAACGTCAATACAATTTTTCGAATAAAAAAACTTCGAATTGAAACAACTTTTTTCTCTCTGAGTACTCATTTGAACCTCAAAGGTATGAATATAATAATAAAATTGCATAGCTCTGTAAGCATTCTAGCGTTTTCTCTCAATATTTATAATCCAGTGATGCACTATTCTGTTATGAATACGGAATTGCGTGCATACACAAACTCATAGATAAATTAGATGCCATTGATGATTTGTGGTTTTCTTTTAGCCACATTGTCACTTTTGCAAATGCAGTGTAAATGTTTCTACCTTAACGCATGTGTATCGTGAAATTCAGATTACTTATTTCATCTAGTCTATTATTTTCTTACGAATGGATGATTCTCGGTGTGCACTTGTCAAAATAAATTTATTATTTTTTTTTGCTTCTGTGCTGGCGAACGTATACATTCCATTTGGTATTGTTAGCTTCAATGGAAGTAATATGTCAATCAAACGTAGGGCAGAGGATGGATTTCTCTACCGGAGGCA